ATGCAGGGGAACCTGTGGATTAAAAGATATCATTTTCTTTTTGAATGGGTATGACTCGACTACACTGCCTAGAGATTCGTAGCTGGGTGATAAGCTATACAGAAATGCAAGACAGTGATTACTCCAGCAGTCACAACGGTGGTTACTTTGCAGAGCGAGGGGGCAACTGTGATGGGGACACGGCTCATGGAGGGGCCTCCGGGGTTGTGGTGACGTGCTATTTGTTGACCTGGCTGGGAGTTATAATGATGTTCACCTTCCAGCTGGGTTTCTCAAACTCACCACTGTTGACATTCGGGTCAGATAATCCTTGGTTGTGGGGGGCTGTCCTGTGCATTGTGGGATGTTTAGCAGCACCCTTAGCATCCACCCACTGGATGCCAAGAACAGCCCTCCCCTACTCCATCATGACAATCCAAAACATCTCTGGAGACTAACGAATGTCCCCCGAGGGCCAAAATCACCCCTAGTTGTGAACCACCCTTCAGTAACTCCTTAAGCTACACGTATATTTTACGTGGTTTCTTGGATCCGGCACTCTCTGTGCGTGAATTTTATTTTACCATAAAAATATTTTTAAAATTCCAGTGGAGTTTTCATGGGGGAAACTCGATAGAATTCTACAGTTTATCTGGAAGAAAACAAGACCATGGGAATAGCCCAGGAATTTTGTAAAGAGTGGAGGATCAGATATTAAAATAGATTCTGAAGCTACAGTCGTTGAAACAGAGTGGTACTGAGACAGACAGACAGGTGAATCTCTGGATTTCAATAACCCACCCCGAGGTGGGCCCCATTTTATCACATGAAGTCTGAGCTGCTTCCCATGCACCCCTCTGCCTGTCCCTCCAGCTGCTCTCCCACCAACACACCGACCTAGTCAAAGTTCGGTATGGAGCTTCCTAGGTCTCCTCCTTTGCACGCGCAATTTCTCCCATCTGGAGCGCCCTTCCGTAAGTGTCACCCTGCAGGCTCCCTCCCCAGACCCTCCAGGTCACAGATATGCCCCTCCATTCTCCTCCCATAGACTCCAGCTCCCGTCCCTGTCACCCTCTTACCATAAACCATAGCTGGAAAGTCTGTCTCCTCCTCTCAGCTTTGCAGCCCAGGATGGCAGGGACCAGCACTGTTCCCGGCACACACTAGGCGCTCAATAAATGCTACATTAATCAGAAAAAAACAATCTGTAGAGTCACTTTAGATCGGAATATATTCCAAATGGGTTAAGGAGTTACATGGAATTTCAAATCATTCTTTTAACGAACATTTATTAAGCACCTACTGTATGCCGGGGGCACTGGATAAAGCAAAGAACAAAATCAGTTTCCTATCCTTTGGGGAGACAGATGGCAAACAAGTAAACAAATAAATAATACAGTCTTTGTTTTCCCACATAGTGCAAGTAGCTATTAGGTTCATAAAACAGAATGATGGGAAAAATAGTGACTGGAGAGCGGCCACGTTAGGACTTTAGGGGGCGGGGACACGTAGGTTGAGCCCCAAAAGGTAGGAGAAGGTGGCTGCGTGAACACGTGCAGGGAAAAGAAATTCTGCAAGGTGGAACAGCATGTGCAAAGACCCTACGATGGGAAAGATCCAGGGTCCTGGTCCCTTCCCCAGACGCAGGGACATGAACATCGGCCCTTCCAGCTTCCACTCAAAGGATCTTCCAGATACACAAATCCCACCGGGTCACTCTCCTGCTCAATCTTCCCATGGCTCTCTAGCGCCCTGGGAATCAAATCCAAGCTCCTTAGCCCTGCGCTGCGAGCGCTTGGCTGCTGCGCTCCGAGCTCCGCCCAGCGCGCCCTCGGGGACCGTCATCCCAGGCCCCGCCCCCAGCCAGGCCCCACACTCTGGGCGCCCGCCCCGCCTCACCATTGGACAGCTCGGGGAGCGCCGGGCGCTGACTGGCTGGCTTGGACGTCAGTTAGGGTCGAGGCCTTGATAACCTGTCCCCGGGCTTCGAGGGGGCGGGCTCCGGCGCGGGCGCGGCGTGGGCTGCGGCTTCAGGTAAAGCGCCAGCCGGCGGGGCACCGATGGGGGTCCTGGGGGGATCGGGGGACGCACTGGGAAGGGGCACGGCGCCTCTGGCCCCTCTGCGGGCTCAGCGCGCTGCGACAGGGCGGGCGCCCTGTCCTCCGGCTGGGACCCCTCCCACACTGGGAGCCCCAGGTGGGTAGCGAGCAGAGTGGAGGGCTCTGGGTTCGCGAGATCGCCCTCCTCTTGCCCTTCAGGAGCCAAGTGGGGGGCTTGTTCGCCCCCTAGCGCCCCAACCCTCCGGGACCCTTTCCCAGCGTCGCTCCTGGACAGCTTGGGGACCCGGGTCCAACCCCTCGCGCCGGACCTGGATGTGGGGGGGCGATAAGGAAACAGTGTTGGGGGGAGGGACGGACGGCCCCCGGGCCCGCAGACAATGGGCAGCGGATGGGACCGCCCGGCGGCGTTTCCTGCAGGAAACAGCTCTGTCTCTGCGAGGCCGTCCTGGGGGCGCGTGACGGGGTGGTGGGTGCCGACTTGAGCACCTCTCCCTGCGCCCATCATCAGCCTGCACCCCTCACCTCAGGGGTCTGAGAGTCCCGCCCCAACATTAGGGGGTGCCCCCACCCAGGGCCTCAAGCGGGGAAGACGCCCTCTCCCCAGGACCGGGATCTGCCCTGCCCGCCGCGTCCTTCATCCCTCAGGTTTCGTGATCACAGCTCCGAGTCCCGAAATAGTCCCTGGGGCGGGAATGGGGGCGTGCGGCGTCGTCTCTGACGGCCTAATGAGGGGGTCTCAGGCCGAGGATCCGGATCTAGCCGTGACAGCTCGGGCAGGGAGCGCAGGAGAGAGGCGGGCAGTCGCGCACCCCGGGAGCCGCCGGGGTGTGGGCCTGCTCCCCCTCCTCAGGGACCCACGCGGGGACAGGCATGGGTGCAGGCTGGAAAGGCCAAACCTCCTCGGGCTCCCTGCCCCTCCTGGGGAGGGGAGGCCTGTTTCTAGAAGGCCACCCAGTGCAGTGGCCAATGCAGACACTGGCAAAGCTGTCTGGGTTCAAATCTTGCCTCAGCGCATGTGTGACCTTGGCGAGTCACTTAATCTCTCTATGTCTCAGTTTCTCCATCTGTACAATGGGGAAAAGGATAATGATAATAAGAAAACCTACCTCAGCAGGTTTACCTAGAAGTCCTTTTTTTTTTTAAAACTTAATACCCATAAATTGCTTAGAATAGAGGCTTGCCCATAGTAAATGGCAAAAGTATGGTTATTATTATTATTTGCCATTCTTGGGGCGTCCACCCATGTCTCAGCCCAGCCTCTGGATCTGGCTGCTCCTGCTGGTTTGGGCCTTAGGGATGACCCACAGCTGTTTTTTGAATTCCCAGGGCCAAGGATTTGGGTGTGACCCGGAGGAGGGGGCTGACCCGACTAAGTCACACAGCCAGCTGTGTGAGAGGCAGGCCCGGACCCCTAAATCCCCGCCCAGGTTTTTTCCACCATCCAGCTCTTCCCTGGCAGTTTCCTGAAAACAAGTCATGAGAGGCACTGGCTGTGCTCCGTGATGACCGGCTGCCTGCTGGCCCAGGGACGGGAAACAGCTGCTTTGGGACTGGAAGGGGCCCCGCCTGCCCTGGGGTGGGGTGGGGTGGGGGAGGTGTCAGGGACCCAGGCTGGACGGAGGTGGCGAGGGGGAGGATCCCCCCAGCCGTGGAGCAGGGAGAGTCAGGTGGGCCCATCGGTGCTCAACGGCTGGTGGGTGTCAGGCACGCAGGTGGCCATCAGGAGTTCAAGAGACTGGACAGGGTGGCCGGGAAGGTTGTTAAGTGGTTAGCGCAGATGAGCAGTGGATTAGGACGAGGACAGATGGGGTCCGGCAGGCACCTGCTGGTGGAGGGCTGGGCAGGCAAGGGGTCCCCAGAAGACAAGCAGAGCCCAATCTGAGGGCATTTCCCACAGGCAATTGATTTCACTGCTTTTTGCCTTAGTTTCCCCATTTGGAAAATGTGAATATCTACCTTCAAGATTGTACTGAGGTTACATTTAATCAGGCAGGGCATACAGTAGGCACTCAATACAAGCTGCTTTCCCTTCCCTGAAGGTTTTTCATGTGGGCTCTTCAAAGCCCCATTTTTCCCACCCTGTGCTTTCTGAATCCAAGTTCTGGACTCAATATTTGTCCTTGTTAAATATCATAGTATTAGATGTGGCCTGATTTCCCTCCCTTAGAGCCTCCATATGTCACCCGAAGAGTCACTCTCCCCCCAGCCCATGCATAGCCACAGCTCTGACAACCTGGTTGCTTGTAGTGCCATTATAAGCTCTTACAAGCCCAGGGCAGAGCCTTGTGGCATCCGCTAGAGACATCCCGGGGAGACAGGTAGCCAGTGATTTGCATCCTTGGTTCATCTGGCCCACAACTCGCCATGATTCCTACAAGGATCTCACAAGCGACCTTGGTAAAAATTCAGATGCACAATTATATCTTGTTTGCATTTCTCTAAGGAAAAAAAAATTCAAGAGAGCCTGTTTTTTTTTTCTTTTCTTTTCTTTTAATATGCAGAATCTGACCAGATGAGTTTTCAATGAGCCCACAAAGGGCTTCCAACTCTCACCTTCCTCTTCTGAACGTTCATATCCCACCCGTTTGAACATCAATTTCTAATTTTCCGCAGGGACTGACAGAAATCTCAGCAGGTCTGGAATGACCCCCTCCCCGCACTGTTCACTTGACCACTGCCCACTCTTCTCCTTCCCATGCCCTTCCTGCCTCTCCCCACCCAGCAGGCTGAGGCCTGGCACCTTGAGGTTCCCACATTCATCCATTCCAAAGTTTCAAGGTCTCTTGCAGGGCCAGGGAGGAGAGGGCCTGTGTGGAGGGGTGGGTGGCAGAGTGGAGCTCTGGGGTCTAAGCCCTCAGAGTCCAGGCGACCCCAGAGGCACAGCCAGAGGGAGGGCTCAGCCTCCCCCTCACCCCTCTGGGGGCCTTTTTCAGGCTGTATCTGGCGGTTACTCCAGGAAACATGGCCAAGTTTGCTGTCAATCAGAACCTGCCTGGTGAGTGTGCAAAATGGGATACACGTGTGTGCACAGATCCACACTTGGTGCCGGTGTGTGGACACAGCCCTGCAGTTCCCTCCTTCACACGGTGGCCATAGGGCCCTTTCTAAATGCCCATTGGATAGTGTCACGGCCCTGCTTAAAACCCACCTATGGCCCCCATCACTGTGGACTAAACTCCCAACTCCTCATGGTTGCCCAGGAGCCCTCCTCCCCAGTCTGGCCCCAGCCCACCTCTCCTACTCCTCTCTCCGCTCCCTTCCTTCCCTCTGCTCTGACACCCTGGCCTCCACCCTGCTCACTCCACCCCAGGGCCTTTGCATGGGCTGTTTTCTTTTAGGAACCTTCTGTCCCCGGCTGCTTCCTCCTTATCACTCAGGGCTCACCTCCTAAGTCCCCTCCGCAGGAAACCTGCCCTGACAACCAGAGCTAAAGTCACGCCATCTCCACTTCTCTCGATTTCATCTTGTTATTATTCTTGCCCTGAACGCCATTTGGAATGATCATGTTTATCTATCTCCTACAAGAGGGCAGGAATGTTTGTTCACTGCTATGTCCTCAGCGCCTAGAAAAGTGCTTGGTACATAGTAGGCGCTCCATAAACGCGTGACTGCGTGACGATTTGGGTGCAGACAGGCGTTTGAGCCTCAGGCGTGAGTGTGCAGGGTTTGGTGAGGTGGAGCCGTGCAGGCGTGTCGTGGGGGGTGGGAGATGCGCTCCGTGTGTCCATCTCTCCGGGTCTCCTCGGCCTGACGCCCCCCACGCCCCTGTCGTGCCCGCAGACCTGGGCGGCCCTCGCCTGTGCCCCAGCGCGCCCGGGGGCGCCCGCAGCCCGAGCTCGCCCTACTCGGTGGAGACGCCCTATGGCTTCCACCTGGACCTGGACTTCCTCAAGTACGTGGAGGAGCTGGAGCGCGGCCCCGCCG